ATGATATGTCTGAGACAAAATATCATATCCCAGGGAACACCTAACCACCGTCCTTCTCATCCGTATGTACAAATCTTTCCCATCATCTCAAAAGATTTTCAAAATTTATCTTATTTATTTGTGGAAAATTGGATTTACAAGGATCAAAACGTTTGTCTCCGGATGGATCTGAAACTGTCTATAGAAAAATATCATTCGTTTTGTTTAAAAACAAATCTTATTGATAACACTTCATTTAATTTGAAAAGCAACATTGTTGCCAACAAAATTAAAGGAATCTACTTCATTTGAAAATTAAAACTTTGTTTCTCAGATTCTTAAAGAAGCTGAAAATTTGTTCTTCGAGGATTCAAGACTTTTACCCGCCCAGGGTGCATATGTCCATTACTGTGATTAGATGACACCTGAAATCTACCTCCAAGAATAGCGAGGAAAACAAAAAAACTTTCATGTGAATCTGTCTATCTTCAAAAAGAAAGCTTTGTTAGTACCACCATCTTCGAGTTACTCGGTGGAGCTCTACATTTTCAATAAAGCTCGAAGTAAGATTCAAGTTCAGCAATTGACTACATAAAAATTATCTCTCCGCACAAGTTTAAAGGGATATGCTGCTGAAAATATTTTTCAATTACAATCAATTTCATTCTGTTTCTGTGCTAAGCTACGCCATACCTATAAATCGCCAATTAATTGGTTTTACTACAAATAAATATTGTAGGGGCAAACTATCTTCACCTCATATACGACTTGGTCAGTAGCTAGGTCTAGCAGTTCAGCCGGGCTGGCAACCTAGAGGCCACTGTTTTGAATCCAACTACGACCCAGCTTTTAATTTTACCTTCAACTATCGCTCAGTATTAACAAAAATATCTGTAAAGGGCGAATATATTGATGACGCCATTGCGACTCTGCCCTTTAAGTTGTAAAGTTTGTTGCTGAAGTTAAGCTGCACATCGAATTTGCATTTTAATAACAGCTCTTTGAGGTACTTTTTTGGTAGTCTGATATCGAAAGCATTCAATTCGATGAAGTCGTACTAGTGGGACACTTGTAAATGATGAGGAGACATCAAATGATGACATAACAGTGGGATTAATATTTGTTTCACCAACGGAATTGATAAACCTAAATGTATCGAGTAAAGAACAGTGAGTAATTTATCTCTTGATGCGTTCCAGTAGCTTAGCCAGTTATTTGGCAATGGAATGATAAGTTAAGTCAGACACCTTTAGTATGGGATGTAATGGTAAGTCTGGGTCATGAGTTTTGGGTAGTCTGTATAGAAGACACATAGTTGATGCTGGTTCTTAAAGATATCTTTGTAACACAGTATAGCGCTTTTGTTAATATCATTTTACCTTGCGCATAGTTCTATTACTTTCACTACTGGTCATTGCCTAAAATTAAATAAAGTGAATCTCGAGTCGGCATTGCATTGATATGATTTTCCCTTCGACTGATTGTACCTTATTTCCTCGAATCTACAGTCACCCTTGATCCTATCTACTTATAAAACTATTTAATCCATAGTTTTCTTTATCCCTTATATTAGCTGTTTTGCAATATCATTCATAGGAAAATTCTCGAAATCATATATTCCTTTCAAATGTATACGTCAATGCACAGAACGAACGTTTAGATAATGTTTGTATTGACGTACGTGTAAAAATCGAATATGCTTTATTTCTTTACGAAGTTAATGCTGAAGATGTCACCAAGCCTAGTGATAAAACGTTTACGATAAGATATCACAGGACACCAAACCACCATGATCCTCATCTTGAGCTATTTCCCATCAATAAATATTGTTTTTAACGGTGATTTTTTAATGAACTAATTTTCCCAAGAACTTGGTCAATTCGACATACCATATATATATCTGTGGTACAATTTACTACTGTCTTATTGTCGATTTATAGTTTCTAGATGAAACTATTGGCGAATACAGTCAACTACATGACCTGCCTTCATTACCGAAATAAAGATGAAACAGCTACTGCTTCTCCTAACAGGAGTTTTAAAATTTACATCTGACAACGGACACGGAAAAAGATTACATAAATTGGGGTAGTCATAATTCAAGCGCTGTCGACAAATTTCATCTTATTAGTCTATATCACTCGATCACGCAATGTATGAATTTACAACCTCATAAATGAACAACATTCTGTCAGCTCCACTAGAATAAATCTTGCTTTATAGTAAACTTAACAAATTATGATTGGTAAACTGATGGAGGGGACAAACGGTCGTTATGGCTCATAGCGAAAAACCAAATCTGAATTCAGTGTACAAGCAAATGACAGAATCGAAAGTATGGCAGTTATAGACTTTTTGTTTCCGATAGTGTCAACTAGGAATCAAACTGTTTCACATTCAAAATAGATTCCTTACCAACATTTGTTTGATGATGGGATTGGAAGTAGGAGTACACTTCAATTTCTTGTTATAACTGTAAGTAACATGATGCAGAAAACAATTCATATAAAGATATACCGGTAGTTCAGAACCTAAACTACATTATTTTCCGAATAACTTTGGCACTGTGGTTGAAAGTAATTCCATATTAGATTTGGCCATTTGCTATAGCATATATATATATATGCAAGTACAATATTACCTTCTAACGGATAACGAAGAAAATAGGCTAAACTTACTGATGTGAAAAAAACAAAACATGTTGTTCACACCAAAAAACAGACTGACTGACTAAGTCAGTGCAGAACCTGGCACACAAGTGAATCGGATGAATTTATCACACTTCACAGTAGTATACAAAGAATCTGCCGATAGAAAAGGAGTGATATCAAAGTGTGAGAGAATAAGCAAACTGAAGATAATGTTTAGTGCGAATATTCGAGCCTTATCTGATGTTAAGGAGTGAATGCATCTGCGCCGCTGTGACCGATTTTTAGCCATGTCACCAACAGTCCTCAACCACTCATTCCGTTCATCTTGAGAATCCTAGTCAGGCAGTCTGCACGACTAAGACCAACAGTAAGAGACTTAGTCGACTAGTGCCACATCTTGATCTGACCTCCCTGAATCCCCTTCTAACATAATCCAGCCTCCCCTAGCATGACACGTCGAGGTACACGGTAGAGGGTGATGCTTAGTACATGTCCAAGCTATCTTAGTCGAAGAAGGTTCACAACCTTATCAACTGACTTGCGTCTCTTGCTGAGTACCCTTCACCCGACCTCAACATTGCTCACGCGATGACTCTACTGAACGCCAGCAATGATACGAAGACATCTATAATCCTGTAACCACTTCTTATCTACTTTTAACGCCAGTGTCCCACAGACGTACAACAGGACAAAACGGACTGTATCGCAGTATACTCGTCCTTTGATAGATAGTCGGATATCTCACCAGTGGGCGGAACAGATGAAGCAAGTTGGCAAATGTCAAACAGGCCTTCTGTATCTGAGCTAAGAGTTTACCACCAACCAGCCTATTTAGACTCATGCAACTCCCCAAATAAGTGAAGTGGTAGAATGTGTCGACCACTTCACTCCCCATCATTAAATTGGGAGAACTTGCAGGAGACCAGTTCTGGAGCATCATCTTACACTTAATAAATGAAAAGCACATGCCAAACATACTTGAATTTCCTCTCAACGCGTCCAGAAGACCCTGTACTGTGGTCGTCAGCGTCCTATCCTTTCCGGGGTGGTTTCACTAATCATGGCTTTCTTCTTGCCCGTATCCTTAATAAGCCTAAATAGTTGCCGAGTATTACCCAACCCTGATGCCATCACCATCTCTCTCGCTCTCATCTCCCACCACTGCTCGTGATCAACACCAAGACTCTTGGCCAACTTACGTTTAGGTTGCTTTCGCTCTTCATCGTGGTCACAGCCCGTTGAAACCAGTCTTCTCACATCGACCAGTTTGGATGACGTTGCGGAAATCCAGTGATGTTTGCTAACCTTAGGCTGTAGGTTACCAATTGTCTTTACCACCGCTTCTACAGTAGACTTAATATTACGCCAGGTTTCCTCGAGATGAGCATTGCTGCAACGTTCAGATAAATGCCTACCTAACTCCTCTCTAAATGCACAATTGGCGTCCTCACCCCCAATCCAGCACGTATGGGCCTCACTGCCTCCTGAGGCCAGTAAGGCGTAGATATACATGACCGCATACTAGCGAGTGATCGGAATCCAAACTGGTTTTAGAGAAAGAGCGGAAATCCTCCAACGATGGCTTACAGCAATATGATGCATGTGCTCATTGTTGGTTTAAAGTCGGTAGACGTCATGTGAGGCAGTGTCTCCTAATGCCTAAAGTCACTGTAGACCAGAAACAAAGGATTTTCGGGGCGACACTGCAACAGACGATTAGTTATCAGTTCATTAGCATGGAATTCCGTAAATATCCGCCAAGATGCCTTTCTGATAGCCTCAGCTTCCCTATTTGAGCATTAAAGTCACCTGCCGTTATGACTACATCTGAACGTTTTGCTTTCTGTAGCAAAGTTGATAGCTTCTCACGGAATTCATCCTAACTACAGTCGGCGGGCACGTAGGTGGAGATAACGAATAGGCAGCAGCTGGTCTCATGACCCTTCCCAGTCCTAACGGGTCCATTCAGTCGAATAGTACATATACGGTATCCGGTTTGCCTTCTGATCTACAACTCAATCCTATGTCTATACCAGCGAGTCTACGAGAGCTAGCCATTAGGTCTCCGGATACTCTCAAAGTGAATTTTGAAGATTCCCTTCTATGATCACGTGACGGCGATTGAATAACCACACTCGGGTTCTGTATACATTGGCAACTCATTGACCAATGTGCTACTTAAAGGCATGAAATTAGGCAATGAGATGCACCGTAGTTACCCGGAATGAAAACGTAACAATGGATTTTAAAAATTATTTCTTAAGCTTCAATGTAACTGCTTCCTTGAACAGACTATTAACGTAAACATAAAATAAGTTCTATAATAAGTAACATAAATAATGAACACATGACACAAAATCGATATTTAGCATATTTCAAATTACTCTGTAAAAGTGATCAATTGATAAACAAGATATATTATAGGTTAAGCATCGTAAGAAAGGCAACACTTTAGATGACAATTATCGTAAAGAATATTTCATAAAATCTAATTATAGATAAGGCTTGGAATAATATCAACGATAAAATAATACAACACTAAAAATGATAAGTCCCATGAGAGTAGTCTACTTCGTAACCACACTAACATATCTCTTATTGGTTGGTGCCCATTCTAAGATACAATCATGCCGCCACAAAATACTTAGTGAGTGGTTAACAAAAGATTGTGCAATTGCACGCAAAGAAAAAGCAACCAGACGACATCAATTCTTGTTATTCAATTCACAAGATGCACAAATCTCATTTAACATATTCTGTCCAATATGCAAACATGAGGCAATCGAAGAATTCCAATGGAAATATATACCCGCCTCAGAGAAAAAAGTCATTTTTACTCAGTCGAATCAAATCTACTATGATAGTCACCTAACAATCATAAGTGAACTATTACAGCCAGTTCAACAAGAATCCATGTATAACCCATGTTTCACTGGGCATGGGAAACATCTGGTTGCTAAAAATGTTGGTCTGAGTAAGTACATGGGAACGTATGTGTGTACATACATGAATGATACTAAACACCCTTCCAACTTCATATGGCACCACCTATACGGAATGGGTACATTCAAGAAAAACTCTATATCAGTAGCCATCCCACAAATCACTGGATTCTACAATCAGATAAAGAGCAGGCGACAGATAAAAGCCATACAAAACCATGTGCACGTTGCACTAAACAACATCTCAGAATTGAATGACCGACAACTTTCATTCATCACTATCACATTCAAAGCAGATCATGACGATGATGTCATACAACATTGTGGAAAAATTACAATCAATCAATACAGACGCTGTTATCTGAAGATACCACGGGCTGAATCCCTTACCGAAATCAGTCAACGAAACAGCAGTGGCACCGACCACGCCGAAAAACTCATCCACATCAGTAAAATTCTCAGATCATCACTGGGATTCATAACGCGACTGCAAGATTATGGGTCGAACAGTGCGCAACTAGCTGCCGCCACTAGCAGACGTCTTGGTTTCGACACATACGATGACAATCAACACATCTACGTACCTTGCGAATATGAACTACTACAGCATGTATCCATGCCAATAGACAACTTCCCACCACCTGGCAGGCATGCAGTCATCAAATACGAAATATTGTGCGACCAAATTCATCCTAAAAACTTCACCACACTTCTTCATCGAAAACGTCTCATTAATCAACCACTTAAGACCACAACTATTGAAGAGTACCATCACCTCAAAATACAAAATCTCATCGTTGAAAATCAGAAGGATGTCGTGTTGAAATGCAACACTAACAAAATACAACGGCTGAAATGCAATCACACACACATGGACACCATATGGAAGTCGTCAAATAATATCACATATACACTGAGGACGGAGAAGAATGAATTAGCTTATATCACATCTGATTGTGATTTGAAGTTCGAAGCAGTTAAGAAAAACGATGCAGGCACCTACTACTGTCACACAATACATTCCACTTCTGCAGTTGGCGGAGGCTATAACACAAGTTACATTGGTTTATGGTCTGGTAAACCGATTATTGTTTATCGTCTACGCATTCAAAGAAGAGCATATGAAAAGCCATATAAGAATTATATGAAAACTGATTTGGCAATCTTATCATTGTGGTCATTAGTGCTTACGATCCTTTGTACAATATTTAGCTGTTATAAACTGCATGCACAAAATTCTTCTTTAGAACTAGCTTTGCATCGGAAACGTCAACATGTTAACTTAGTTTGTTTACAGCCATCTGCAAAATAATACTTTGTATCTGTACAATGATTGCAGATAAGACATTGCTTGAAAAAAACTTCGCTAACGAATGAAAACACGACTCGACAAACACATTTGATTTGAGCTACCTTAACTGACTGAGGTCCGAAACGCGAGCTGCCAATACACACATCGATACATGGAGTGGGATTTGAATTCAAGACTCTTATGCACTGGATCATGGCTTAGGATATCAAGTTCAGAAAATAATATTTAATTTTTTCTACCGTGATTTTTGTCCTCTCGGTGAGAAAAAGATTGAGTTTAACGTCATGTGCAAAATACTAGCTTTTGCATATAAATGGCACGTTTTTTATTTTCAGAAAAAAATAAATTTTGCTACTATCACTATTCTCTTACTAACCAAAATTATTTGATCAGTAAGTGACATTATTAGTAGAGAAATTACTTGTCGTTCCCAGTTGCTACAGTTCATGTCAACATATCTAGGCGGGAATTAAAAACCAGAAAAAAACGAAATGAAAATAACCATACCAGCAGTCATTAAAAGAAATCGAAGAGACTGCAATTGATCACAATAAATTCAGGTCGACGAGTCACTGAACACAGTAACTAGTGTTACTTAGCCCTAACTGCTAACTAAACTCTATCGACCATTTTGCACTGTGATTAACAAGCTGGGAAACTCAGTATCACAGAACACTTTGTTCGACCCTGGATCGTTGAAGACAATCCAGTCTTACAAGTCAGTCTCAATCCGAATAGTTTAATGGTAACGTCTCTAACTGCAGAACCGAGTGACAAGGGTTCGTATGTATGAGGGGATATTAGTTCCTTGACGATGATATATCCTATTGGTGAGTACCAGAAAGTCCAAAACCTAGATTTTATGCTTTCTGTCGACTTAAATTTAACATCAAAATACTTTGAGCAACAGTATCACACCATTTGACCAAATGCACACTGCAATGGCACGACTTGAAAACTACATGAGTAGACATTCGGTGACCAAGTTATGTTTTGATTTTTTAGTAGGCAGCATTTATCTCTATATGCCTGCTAGGCTATACGAATTTTGTACGAAATTTCAAGCGAAATTATTTCCCCAACGAATACTTCGAATCTAAATCACAAATTCAACCACTTAAAAGGAATCGAAGCAAGTTCGTCATATGATTCATCATTGACTGCCATAACTTCTACATGAACGTTGTTAAATAGTTTTCTGGTGCTTCTTTTTCCTCGTATATAGCAAACGACTAGCTGCAAATCATAGGAAGATGACCAAATAAGTCACAAAGTAAAGTTCTATTTCTTAATAAAAACCGACATTAATTGTTTTATAACTTGTAAGAAGGAAATGCGAAATAAAGCATTAAAAGAATACAATAAGGTAAACAATAATAAATGATAAGTTAATTTTCTAAATCATAAACCAGTTTATTACTCCATTTTCGATTCTCACTGATTAAAACGGATTCGGAAACTGGAATACTACCTCTGCGAAAAAAAAGACTAGTTAGAAATGAGTTTAGTCGATGGGAAAATGATGACACACTACTAGTGTTTGTTGTGTTATCTTGGTCGACCAGACTAGAAAATAACAGAAATCTTAGAGCTATATCAGATTTATGCCTGTTATATTGTGAAACTGTATTTAAGGGTCGTTTAAAATGCATCGGTATCCCAGAATCAAGTAATAGATAATTTACCAGACGATGAACAAACAAGTGTTCAGCAAAGTTATACAGTAAAATATCTAATCTGTTCACATCCTCGATTTTACGCAGCGTAACTGAGTCCAAATTTGATCGCATTATTGCAGCATGTGTATACAGTAATCGGTTTTTTATAAGAGATATTTTATTGAATTCAATAAACAAACGTTTAAAAGTAATATTTAAACATTTTTGTAAGATATACTGTGAATAAACCAAATATTCGCTGAAACCATAACAATGGATAACATTGACAAGATTATGCTTAGCGCTTTTTAACAATGCTAACTGAACTGGCGGAATCGAGTTGATGACTGTAGTATTCAGTGGTTGAGACCACTTTGTTAAATGCTTATAACACTCTAAATGTGAAAGATTGGCTAACATCCTTGTTTGACGATTGTGTGCTAAATTATACGGACACTGCATAAAAGATTGTATAGATACATTGTACCAAGCCGCTGGATTAATATCTTGTTCATCTTTATAAAATCGGCAAGGTTTGTAATGTTCAGTTGGTGGAGGCTGTCTGTTACATCGAAGAGTAGAGGAATGCCATGTAGCGCCACGACAAATATGTTGCCATTCACTAATAAAACGGTCTACAGGATTGCGCAGGATGGTGAAATAGATGTACCTAAAAGGAAGAGAGAAACGAGCAAACAAAAATTAATCCTGATGACTAAATTAGCACACTTATGTAAGCGAATGAGGCAATAAAGATGTAAATTCCAGGTATATTTAGGTACAAATCAAGGTACATGCTTGGAAGGTTTTTGTGGAGAACGTATTTCAGGCTACTGCTTTGTACAGTCTTGTTTGCGAATTCAAATTTTTCACTTGACTTCACAACACACAAACACAGATGTTTATAGAAAACTTTAAAACAAACAGTAAAGAGCATCGGAATTTAAATGAAAAGTGACAAACTACCACCAAATGAAGGGATAATGCCTTATTATCATACTTTTTTTAAAAATAAGACCTATTTAGCAAGGATGATAAGTTAAGAAACACAGTTACATAGCGATCCACAATTAATCCTGTACATCTTGGTTGCTTTGCATTCCCTCAGCTCGGTGGTTTAATTGTAAAGCCTTTGTCGTCTTTCTAGACAACGTCAATATGAAGTGAGCAAACCAGATTTCTCCATAATTGACTCAGTGGCTTGCCCTGACAAAATGGTTTATTTATGGTATACATTTACCTACTGACTTTTTCTCCGCTTGACCCCTGATACTAATCATTTTTCTTACCGGTTTATAGATTGAATCTATATCTATACATTTATTCATTGATGACTGACCTGAATCCCAAGCTTCTAGGAATTCTCTGATATTCTTTTTTTTCCTCTGTTCAGGATTTCTACATTTTCAAGATTAAGTTTATGCCCTCAGTTGTCCACGTGCATTGATATTAATTAGTCAACTGATGTCCGTGTAAACGAAGGTGAAGAGGGTGACCATTTGGTCTGATGTAGTGCTGATCCCCAAATGACTTTGGTCTAAATATTTTGGTTTGAAGGGAATTTTTCGGTTAATGAGCCACACCAATTCTAAATGGTTTCATTAGCCTTGTCATGATCTCTGATATGCTTTATATGTATGGTGGGATGATCCGCCTGCTGATTTCTGTGAATGACTTTGTATCTGATAATGAACGGGATAGGACATCATTTCATTTATCGGTGAAATTAATGTAGGACAGTGTGTTCTTGCTATTGTGAATAAAGTCTGTATGCAAATAATTTAGTGCATTGCTGCTACCGTAGTTAAAGATTTCATCGGTGTATGTTAACTTATTGTTCACTTGAGTTTCCAATTTTCTGGTATTGGTTCTACTGACTAAAGCATCCAAGAATGTTAGTTGATTTTTCAAATCCTTCTCCACTGTAAACTTGATGTCTTTGAGTAAACTGTGAGTTTTCTAATTTATCCTTCCTAATGATAACAAAAGTACAGTCCATACTGCGGACCTAAATTCTCAGTCTGATCATGGGTAAAATGATAACTGCATTACTGCTTCTACAATTAATCCAGATATCGGTAATCTCATTAGAGTTCCCTTCATCTCTTTGCTTATTGTACCATTAAATCAGAGGTGTACTGGCAAAGATCAATGAGTTCTATCAGACTTCAACATTGAAATTTCGTGTGTTCCGAAAGCCCTGTAACATTGGCGAGGAGGAGAGACATAGTTTCTTAAGCTAGTTGTGGTCCAATTGATTTGTATAGTGCTGTGACGTCAAAGGACACCATTAATTCGTCGTCTATGTTAATACCTTTGATCTTTTCTAAAAATTCTGTTGGTGATTGGATGGGACGTTCCATACGATTACAGATGACATTTCAGTTTCCTTGAAAGCACTTCGGATAGACTGTAAACTGGGGTTGCCAGAAGTAAAGCCATTGGTCTTAGAGGAATGTTTGGTATGTGTATTTTCATTCTGCCGTAAAACCGAGGAAGAACAGGTCCGTTCAATTTCACTCGGGAATACAACACAACCAAGATCATCCCCCATAAGTTACAAATATTCTCTATCATAATCCCACATACATTAGACATCCCTATGTGAAACACTTAGAAAGTATCTAAACTTATATTTTTCAAACTAACACAACGCTGAAGTATACAATTACTGGCCGATACTTTAAGTTGAGTGAAGAGAAAGTCTGTTGTTAGTAGGAGGCTGTATTTGAAGAATTCAAGGCGATAAGAGTAAGCAGGTGTAAGAAAGTGTCTGTTCTTTATCCTACTGTATACGGAAAATCTCTCATCATTTTATACCTACTTTCCAAATCTCTTATTTTTCCTTATCGTTTTTGTTCTTCCTTTATTAATTTTACTGTTGGTAATTTTGAATTACTCTGGCAAATAAAGTACTTAACTAGTTTCTATATGGTAATAATCGGCCGGTCTTAATAGTGACGGTTTCTCAATTAGCCTAAAAATAGTAATGACAAAAAAAACATAGTAAGACTAAGAACGGTTGATTTCTTAGGAATCCTAAAGTATAACTGTGCACTAGTCAGTATTAGAAACGCTAAGTCTGGATAACTTGAGGCTTAGACACAGTCAGTAATGGAAAACTAATGTAGAAGTTTAACTGTCACCCTGGTTTCGTGCAATAACAAACGTGCGACCACGTTACGTCGTGAAATGACAGAAGTTGGAAATATAGATTAATGGATTCCGACACAGTGGCTCAAAGCAACGCGATGGCCACGGAACCTGAAAGTCGCGGGTTCAACCCCTGGCAGGGCCATAGGTGCGCACTGCCGAAGATTCCCAAATAAGGACGAAACAGCTGTTGTATTCCGAGGTTTCCAATGTCCCTCCAAATGATGTCAGTCCACGATGAATATCAACTTGAACAATCTATAAATCCCACAAACTCCCAAATTCAAAAGTGTTTTAGCTTAGAGTTAAGCGAAGTTAAGTGAACTAAGGTCACTAACACATGAAACCTTAAAAAGTTTCAACACATAAATATTCAAAATATCAAAATACTACGATATTTTCTATCATCTGTATTAGAGACAAACTCTACCAAAAATAAACCGAATTGAGTAGGGTCTGCAAGACTAAGCTGTTGCATAAGAGGCTCACTCCACGGTTTCTATTTAAAATGTCTCTAAAACAATGCACCTACCACAGTTGTCTTTGTTTTCGTATGGTCTTATGTAAAGTGGGTCTTAAATGAAATAAGATGTATACACGAACAAATTTACACCTTAACAACCGCGGTCTGATTATTACGGAGTAGAAGATTAGTAGTATTCTAGTAAAAATGAGGCAGAACGAGACATATCCAGAATATGCCAGTATAATGGGCTTATATATTTGATTCTAAAATACTTTTTACGGACATCCCAATTTGAGCAGTCAAACGTCAATCGAGAATGCAGAATAATTGTACCCTATTGTAAATCATATGTTATGATTCATAACTAAACAGTAAGAATGAAAACTTCGCGCACAGAAAGAAAAAAAAATCCCAGATTGTGGAAATACCCTACGAACTGAAGTTGACGAAATACATACATAAAGGTTTTATAGAAACAATGTTGAAACGGGAATCTAATAAATTAGTATGACATTCAAGTTTTTCGTGTTACAGCCTGGTTGTTACTATCCTTTCCTCTCAAGTAAAAAGTAGTAGGGAACATTTTAGTTGGCTATCAGATTTGATAAGTCTAATGTTTTTTCCTAGCGGGAGGACCCATCTAGATTATGAGTTCAAAACAAGATAAAACCAATATCTTACATGGTAGCCACCACAAGATAGATAGCAAGAGCTGGGAGACATATTTTGTGCACTCATATCAGCTAGTTAGGCTTTGACAGCTACTTTTATGGTTGAAAAATGTAGCGAAGAATACAGATGATATGAATAAATAGGATACACTGATACCTATCTTACCTTCTGAGCCGTATTCGACGGTCGATTCTATTCAGTTTGCTGTCGATGCATTCCGTCAACTCAGTGAAATCTGCATGAAGACCACAAAGCCATCCAGTAGAGTATCTGCTAACAAGCCATGTGTTACCACTTGAACTTCTACAACTGCATCGCCTTCGACCGTGACAAAAACATTCTTTATTTACTAAACCATCTTTAACTAAACGGCGTTCTATAAGTGTCCCAGTAGTTTTTTGTATATGGAGAAAGACAAGCACGGATTCGTTTGCCACAGTACTCTTCGAATAATTCAAAAAGAAATTACTTTTTGTACTTCGGAAAGGTTTTGAAAAACCTGGTTTATATTGTTCATGAGTGGTGCAGCGTTTTAATAAGCAGGTAGGACTATCAGGAGATAATATGTAGTAGAGTAATACGAGTCCGACGAATAATCCAAACGTACATAACAATTTATTTTCTTTCATATATGTTATGTAAGTGTTAACAACGATAGGCTACGTAATTACGAAAGACATATGAAACATAGTCCCAGGTGTATATCAAATATTCAAATATTTGGCCAGCAAATACATCCTCCTGGTGCTTTTTAACTACGGAAAACTGACGAACTAACGGGAATAAATTTGACCAAAAGTCAAAAATACCTAACCAGTCCCAGCCAAGGTGGCAGGCCCCGGGCTGATCCCACTAACGGGACACGATTCTAACCTGTAAAAATCCAATATCTGACTTCGCGCATGTGAGATAAAGCGTTGACTATCGTTGTTCTGATTGGATAGTACGGCATAGCATCCAAAAAGACAAGGCGCTAGTTTCTAATCTTTTTAACCTCCAGTTTTAGTTCTATCGCTGTATAGATGCACATGTATAGCCATTAGCATTGGGAAAGTAGCATCAAAACGTCCTTGGAATCGAATGATCAAATGTTCAAGTAGTTGTTTAGGATCCAATGTCTTCTTAGGAGCTAGTGTAAACCAACTGATTTATTAGCTCTAGCTGAACGGCTGCAAGCTTTTGGTGAATTTAGATCCAGCAGGTCCACGCACTGGCCTGCTGTAGCTCTGGTTAGCCCGACGACAGTTGGGTGTTGAATAAATTTGTAGGGTCAGACTGGTCGTAAAAAGAAGGTAGAAAATTGTCTAACGAAATCAAGGGAGGGGGATTTCGAAGAGAAAGCCGTGGAGAAAACCATAAGATGAAAGGAAGCGAAAAGGGAGAAGAAACTTAGGTAGGTTCATGAGAGAAGATTTATGGTGATGGAGCGAACTTTAACTAAATGGTGTGAGAATATAGAGAGGAGAGAAGAAGCAAGTAAGACTGCAGGACTGCCTATGGGAACGGAAGTAATAATACCATTAATAGGAGATGGTAACTGGAGGAAATGTCTACAAGGAAGCATAAGGTTGAGCCAGTCTGGCGATGACAATGGCTTTACAAAAGATTCAGTAATGGGTTAGTTACGCTGGGTTGTGCTAGGTTAGTGGGTGTTATCAGCCTGGTCCATGTCCCCGCTGGATGGGAGCAAACCATGCACCTCTGCGTACCTGTCCAACCTCTTCTTCAAGCCGTCAACAGGTGGAGCAGCAGCAACCTCGGCAGGCAGTGCATTTCAGTGGCCGCAAACTCACCAACAGAAGTGTGAACGCATACTGGTTTTCACCCTTTGGTGGGCGATTCTCTTTAAGCTACCACGAGGATTACCACAGCGGCCTTTCACTAGGATTCCACCGTCCGGATGACTTAGGTTACTCAGTATTTTATAAACCGCTATCAAGTCGCCACGTGATCTACAGTGGCCAAGAGAATAGAGTCCTAGGTCGTTTAGCCTATTCTCATAGAGACTCAGCCTCTTCCCCAAGACACCATTTGTTGCTCGCCTCTGGGCTTTCCCCAGGAGGTTCACACCTCTTTCCAGGTATGGTGGTGCGATGACCTTGTGGACCTCTAATTGAGGTCGTATGTAGGTCTTGCACAAGCTCAGGAAGAGTTCCAGGGTGAAAGCGTCTAGTTGTCTCCGGATGAAGTGCAGTAATGAGTAGGCTCTGGAAGTATCTCCTGGACAATCGGAGCTAGTGTCTGGCTTGTTCGTGGGCATTAGTCCAAGGCCCTTCTCCATGGTGGTGTTGGAGAGAGTGGGGTACTTTCTGAGAGCCAAGGAAGCGGAGAAACATGGTTTGGCACTTGTCCGGATCAAGTGCTATTACGTTATTATTCACCCACTCTGCAGGTGATTTGCGATCACTTTGCAGTGTAGTTGATCCCGCTTTGGATATCGCAGCTCTCTATAACTTAACATCGCCAGTGTAAATTAGAATTGGGGAGTTGAAATTCGATGGAAGGAATGGTAATGGACCCAGAATCACCTCCTGTGATACACCAGATGATGTCCTCCTATCCGAGCAGGCCCTGTTGGATTTTATGCATGATTATCTGCTTTCTGAATGGTTCTGTATCCCGGAGAACAATCAACCCTTGATACCCAGCCCTTGAATGAGAATGGTGTGCGAGACTGCGTCAAAGGCCTTGACAAAATCCGGGAAAATAACATGAACAGGAAGTTGGAGGTGCCAGAATGCAGCCCACTTATCACTGGCCACCAGAATATTTAAGGCGCAGGACTTGCCCTTTCTGAAATCATGTTGAATACCACCTAACGCTTCCCTGACATGGACGTCTACCGGCCTCTCCAGCACCTCTGACCACACTGGTGGTGCTACGGATCGGTAGCATTTCGGGTTCTACACGTCTCCTCCCTTGAGGATGGAAGACAGAATAGCACGTTTCCACTCTTGTGAAAGCATGAGTTTGTCTAAGGGGTGTTGAAACAGATTATGGAGAGGACCGCATAAGACACCCACGCACCGTTCCAACACAGCTGGCCGAATGTCATCGCATCCCCATGATTTCCCCACGTGGAGCCTCGACAGCCTTCGAGAGATCATAGTTGGAGTTACCTTTGCCCCAGGCAACTATACTGCATTTAGTAGTGCCGAATGTTGGTTGGGCAGTTGGTAAATTCGGTTGGATGACGGCATGTTCAGTTGTGTCCAAGGCGGAGCTAAAGACTTCAAAATTCTTCCTGGCCTGTCGAAATAAAACATCCAGTGATGCTGCCTTCAAGCCACTATATCACCGACATGATTACGCAGCGTTACCACTAGTCAGAGGGGGATGTTGACGCAACTCAGGCATTTTGAGCGGCTGGAGAAGAATTTTGGGTACTAAAGGGAGGAGTAGTCGTTCGGAAGGTCATCGGAAACTGTGTTCGTCATTGAAGGCGAAACGCCGAACCTCAGCACCGGTTGATGACACACGTAATGCAGACCAGGGTGGAAGATGTTTTCCCTCTTTCTTCCGTTGGAGGTACGTTTGAAATTGTGTTACACTTTAACGGGATTTCGGAACTGTATCATGATTTTGTTATCAACGTCATCATAAAGCTATTGAATTCTCAAATGACTAATCACATGCCAGGCATACAACTAGATATGGTTAATGCGTGTAAAAAGGCACGGACACAACTGTCTGTGGAACAGTGTAACAACTACACCCAAATGTTAGTGACATTAAAAGCAGATTCCTCTTGCAACAGCATGAGTGAGTCAGCTTATACTCCAGTTATGCTCAACGGAAGAAGAACTGCGTTCGATAAGACAGCCAACTTTGATAATAATAGAAATACCTCTGCATGCCCAACATGTAATAAGACCGCAACACTAAATGTTGCAGAAGACGTAAAGCCTAATGGAATCTCCACGTCTTTTGTGAGACTAACTAGACTTCAGCCACCGAGTGTGTCATTGTCACTTCCTCCAGAAATCGAAAGCCTGAAGTCCTCCATAGAGGAACTAGGGCAGAAATACGCAGACTGAAGGACGACAAACAGAATAATGCACCACAAGAAAGTATGTTAAGGGCGTTCGAGGTGTCACCCCAGCTGGATGAAATTAGAGCTCAGATAAGCAACCTCTTGCCACTGAGCATCTTGACGCGTAGTGAATCCATTGATGAAGTTGACATCGAAACACTATCCAAGGTAGATCACCTGGTAAACTTTATCACCACTGAAGTACGTAAGAGACTCGCACTTAAATTGAACGCAATAGTTTACAACGTTCCTGACACGACAAAGTTGAAGGCGATACAAAAAATTTTGCTTAGAATAGCAAAAATGCACGATATCCAGGCAAAATGTTTCCGACTAAAGAAGAGCCAGCAGGTCCGCTGCTGTCCGATACGCTTTCAATTTAAATCACAGATAGAAGCGGAAGTATTCATCAAAGCAGAATCTATCTTAGCAAAAAACACTGTCTTCACAGGAACAAAGATAGTTCTTGATAAGACAGTGGTGGAGAGGCAGGCATACAACTGTGCTCATAGACCTGACAGTCAAAAGGCTGCAAAGCTGCAACATACCAAAGCAGTGGGTATCCCCCCAATATACCCAAGCCTAGGACTTCTCCTTCCATGAACTCTACCGAGTCAAATATACGGAAAAACACACCGACCAACGTGGAGATGGAAGACTGTGAAATGCATGATTTGACACAACCACCCAAAACTGTAGATCTAGACGTATTCATAGAAAGCTTCAAAGTGAAACCTGACACAGCACTAAACGTGACAGAACTCTCGCTGAGGTCTGCTGGAGGCCTAAAGTCTACTAAACACACCAGCCCAGGCCCTAGGATATCGGCCACTCGATATGCAACAGATAAACCAATGCTCCCATGGAACCCAACACGTGAGATCCGAAGTGATCCCGTAATCCGTTCTGGAATTGACAGAAGTACGAACACTAGCTCTACCAAGAAGGTTCTATGCACTGAGCTAAGTCTCACTTTGACGAGAACAAAAATAGACGTCACAACAACTCAACCTTATCGTTTACTAGTGAGAAAAGCCAATGTCAAACCACCTGTAATAGGATGTCAGTGGGGTGCTTTGTGAGGAAAAACTTTGGTCGGCTGCATGGCACCAGTTTACTAGGAGACAGCCCCCGATCAAACATAACGCCAGTTACGTCCGTTGTGAATTGTAACAGAAGGCAGTCACTGGTAAAGAATACAACGCAGAACAGAAGTTTACATGGACCACAAAAACACGATGATTTTTTATCCAATGCATCCCTATCAGCTACAGCTTTGGCCAAACAACTGATGGGGATGTTGAAACCCCTTACTCTGAACCGCTAATCTTAGCGCCCTCGGAGCAACAGAAAAGACACAGCCAAACATACACAGAAATCCTAGACACTACCACCCAAGTGGTGTTAACAGATGCGAAAGCACAACAGGTCTGTTGAATCCTCCAAGTGGTATCACCAGCCCTACACACCCACCACGTACAATAGTAAAACTACTTACCCTCTGTGTAACAGATACTACAGACGACGCCTGCATGAGGTCAAACTCTGTCTATTTGGATACAATGTGCACACTGAACACAAATAAAAACATTGCTGTGTTCTCCCCTGATAAAGGTGATACCATTTCAAGTCATTGTGCGGTCGGCTTACCACTAGGATATCCTAGTAACTCTACAGCTACAAGTGAACAAGATGTAGAGACGTTCTGTAACGCAACGACGTCAGACCATACTTTTGGCTTGTTCAGCGAACTAGAAAGCTTGACACACTATTACTCCTCTTACTTGTACGTCGTTCTCATAAACGCAACGCCCGTCCTTAGCAAACTGTCGGTATTAGGAGGAATCGCGCTCATATATAAGCCGCCGGTAATAATTATCACTGAGCCTTGGTGTCACGCAAATATGCCAGATGAAGAGACAAGTATTGACATGTATACACAATTCCGATGTGACCGGAGTAACGAGGAAGGAAGAGGTTGCCTGATGTACTTCCTGAACACTTTCGCCGTATTCAGGTCGGAAAACATGGTTATTGATAAAGTAAGTGTTTCTTTATGGGTCAC